AAACTCTCTTTTTTTTTCTTCCTCAAATTTTTTATATATATATATATATATATATATATATATATATAATTTTTTTTTTTTTTTTTTTACACTCGAGTGTGTCTAAAATCTAAAACATTTTTATTTTAATTTAAAAAGTGTAAAATACAAGTTTGTTTTTGTTAACACCCTTAAACGCAGGGACAAAATCTGTTTAAAAACATTCATTTTGTATTCTGTCTCTTTAACATCCCACCTCACTAATCACTCAACCTGTTCTACTTGGTCAAACATGGTAGCGTATACAATAGTGCGTCGACAGTTGTTTGTCACGTCCCACTGTCAGATGTGGGCAGTCGGACATGTTTCTATAATCACGAAAAGAGGACTCACCAATAACGACTTCGACACTTGCTCCTCCACCTGGCTTGGTGTTGATCCTGCTGCAGTAGCAGACGCCAACAGATTGAGCACAGCTTCCTCCAGGCTGGGTAAGCTCTGATACCACAGGGAAACAACTGCCTGCTCGTCCAGTAGCAGGTCGCATCTGGAAATATTTGAAGGGCTGTATTTTAAAATAAAATTTTATATTTTTGACACTATATTATATTATACTATACTATATTATACTAGATACTATTAGCACATATGCTAATGGTAACTTGATCCTTTTCTTGGCATTTTCAGGAGAATTGAAGCAGGCAGTAGAAGAACCACTAAAATATCTTGCAGCTGAAAGTGAGGAGTAGGAAAAACCTTACTCAGACGTGATGTCAGCGACGGGTAGATGGCTACCAGAAGTGTTTCCCTGCAGCTATTTCAGTCAAAAGGGGGTAAAGCCACCTCTTAGGTAGGAGGGTGTTCTAACGTTTTTTTCCTCAGTTGTAATCATTTAAGTAGAATTAAATCCCTTTCATCTCCAAATTGGAAATGAATATATTAAGATTTATGAATAAATACTTGAAAACTGTATTCAGTTTTATTCCACAACTGTAAGATTTTACAGCATTTCTGAAAACCTCCCAACTTTTCTAGTAATGAAGACTTTACATCCTTTTTACAACTGTGATATGAAATAGTCCTTAATGAGTACAACACTGCACTCTACTGAGACACTTAGCATATTTTTCTCAAATATGGCAGCACAAGCTAAAAATGCAGTAGAAACATTTGCTGTACCTGGAGTAGGCAGAGTGTAGAGCACCAAGGAAGTTTTCACTCAGACCTTCTCTGATGCAAGTCATCTGCTGCTGCAGCAAAGCACCAATAAGAGGAGACGCTTCAGGACATGTGATGAGAGGCACACAAGCCTCTGATGCAGCCCAAACACTGCCACATGAACACCTATGTGGAGTTTGAGAAATGTTAAAGACATTTATATTACTGTGCAGACAGAACAATAGGAGGTGAAGATTAGACTTAATGTTTGCTTATGTTTCCTGCATAGCTTTGTTTTTCATTTAAAGTCAACTTTTTCATAGTTCCCCTAAAAAGCACAGACACAGTTGTAATGTTCTTAACAGAACTTTTTATTGCAACTATTTATAGTGTTTATTTCTTTGTTTTTTGTTTTTTTGTAAATAAAGTACTGTGCATTAATGAGGCAGACATTAGATCCTAACCTTAAGATTCAGACCACAAGAACAGAACAAGCTAAAAATTAAAAAAAACTAATTGTATCTTTTTGAACTCAAATGATGTTAAATTAATTTACTAACATTATAAAACTCACAAATTTGTGAAACATTTTAATTGTGGGAATGTGATGCACTACTGCTGTGTGTAACTGAACAGATACATGAAAGTCTTTTTGTATTTATTTTATTTATGCATTTTTTGTTTGTTTTATTGATAAATTTTTTTGCAACAGAACAGAAACCAATCTACCATGAGTACAGCTTGTTTGAATGTGAATTATATTTACCCCTTATTTGTGCTGCTCACAGAACACCGACTATTCCCAATGCTTTCCTGTATTCTTGTCACCATCTGAAATGTAAGAAATCAAAATGAAATGCAAGTATGCTTGTAAAGAGAAGCTGTAAGAACAAAATACCTTTTTCAGCACGTTAAGATGGTACTCTTTGGTTGGCACTGCTAAATGCTTCATCAGTACCACGGCTGCACCATCTTCTTCGTCTGTAGCCAGATGACACAGGACTTTCTGTGGTGGAGCAGAAGAAACAATATGCAGCAGAGGTTTGGCACCTCATGAATGCAACAATTTACCAAAACCAAAAGTTTCAATACAGCAAATCTAATTGGTTGCTGGAAAACCAGATGACTATGTCAGCATCACATCATTTGAAACACATGAGTGGAGAAAAGGTATTCCAATAATTAAGTATGAATGTAAGGGGCAGCATACAAGTAGAAGTAGAAACGAGCATTCTTTGTAACAGACCCTTGCCATTTTACAACCGGGCCTCATGATACACAAGAATAATGAACCCAACCCATAATCAGCTGCGAACAATGTTGGGTGAAATGAAGCAAAGGAATCCACTCAAAGTATATGGTAAGAACATAAACTGGACAATGCCAACTTTATTAATATAGTAATTTTTTTGAAAGCTGCACAGCAATAATGTTGAAGCAAATCTGTGGGAAATATAATAACTTCATAGAAATCAAAACAGAATAAAACTAAAAGTTGTAATGTAGCAGAAGAAAATAATTTAAAAAATACAGGAAAGAAATATAAAAATAAAATTATGTTAATTTCCAACCGGGTCACAGGACTAATTTTAAAAGCATCTTAGAAGTTTCTATTGGAAGGCAAAGAGATTTACCAAAATAGAAGAACCACCTGAAAAGCCACAATCACCTCTACATTTTAGATTAGATCTGGTAACATCTAAACGCACCTTAGAGTGGCTCCCAAAGATGGGGTCTATACCCCAGCCAAAAGTGAAGGGTCTTGAGATAAACCTCAAGACATCAAATTTAAATTAGAGGTAATTGCTAATTGCTTATGCTATTGCAAAATAAGAATCACAAAAGTCATTGAAGGATATTGGCAGTATAATTGTTAAGGTCAGCTGTTTACTCATTATACCTCTGACTGGATTCAAAGCAGTGTCTGAATGCTTTATATACAACTTTGTGGTTGTGTTGTGCTTGTATGCATGTGTGTGTGTGTGTGTGTGTGTGTGCGCGTGTGTTCTTGTGTGTAACCCAAGGATACCAAATCAAAAGCTTGTTCAAGCCTTTGAAACAACCCTTTTAATTTACCCACAAGAAATCGACTTATTAATACAAGCTGAATACCTAAAACTTGACATCTTGTCTACACAGCAAAACCAAGGCATATGGCTCACCAAGTAGTGAAAAAATACAAACCGCTTTGAAACACCAGGATAAAAGACAAAAGGAAATAAGAAGAGAAAGACACTGTGGGATGTTGAGTATGTATAAAAAGAAGAGAGCAGTGAAACCTAAATCTGAGGAAAAGTAGTACTGCAGAGCTGTTGGTGCAGCCCTGTGGTTTTTCCGGCCTGGCTGTGCAGCACGCTAGGATGCTTACCCTCCACATAGTCTCACAAAACCACCCCAATCACTACCATCTGAGAGCCCTCAAACCCAGCACATATAGTACATACAAAGCCAATCACACTCAACCCACAGTTAGTAAGGAGGCACAGTGGGGACGGGGAATGAGAAGTAAGGAAGGTTTGGTTAGAATAAGTATCAGAGACTGAAAGTCACTGTGATGTCTGTATTCTGAACAGGGGGAAAAAGTGTGTGGTCACCAGAGGAATGGGATAAAGAACAGAAAGATAGATGGGTGGCAAATACTTTAGGTCAAAAGCCATCTTTCTCACACAGAAAAAAGCAACTTGAATTGGCTTTGGGGACAAGTTACTGCCATAGCAATGATCCCCCCATAAATCTAAAATTAAAACAGAAGATGTAAGAAAAAAGGCATGAGGCAAAGACTTGCTTTGGATGGGTGTCTGTTAACAATTACTACACCATGATTGAAAAACCAATGACAGACTTAAGTATAGCCTCAGATGGTCAAAACAGCAGAGACAAAAAAGGGGAGATGAAATCCACTGGAAGAGCACAAATAAAGAATTTGGATCTCTAAAAGCACTGATTTAGAACCAACCCAACCTCAAACTTGGAGTAATAAATCTGTATGCCCATCCAGTATTTGTACAACACCCACTAACAGTCGAGGGGCTATAAAGGGTTAGCCCACATAGTTGATGGTATCCAAAAAAAATGTTAAGTGTTAGTTACTTTTATAAAAAAAAAAAATCCAGCTCTCTTGTATATTTCTCTTTATGCACAGTTAACACACTTTTCCTTTCAAAAGTGTTCATACCAAAGCAACATGTTCACATTTTGACCAACACACCCACAAAATTCAATGGATTTTATGTGACATGGCAAAGCAATGTGAATGTTATTAAAGCTAAAAGCAATGACTTTACTTTTTTAGACTTGTAATATCATTATAATTTAAATTTAGGAACCACTCAATTTAATGTGGAGTTTGGTTTCAGAGTGTCAATGCTGTCCAGAAATGCTTAAAAATTATGATTCAAAACCTATGCGAGTTATCTCACTTTCCACAAGCCAAATTGCTTATGCTTACATACTTTATTAAAATTATAATACTGTAATGTCATGTTTTGGCTTTTGTACTACATATTGAGCAGAAGTGTTACTGTGCTACTGTTTTATTTTCAGATATTTTACTGGTCAAATAATGAATACCCAAATAAAAATACCCAGCATCAGTCCTTACAGTTTATTATAAGCTCAGCAAAAAGCATTGAGGATGGATTTTAGTTAACTATTACAAAAATTTCTGTAAACACACAGAACCTGTTTAAATGTGCATTACTAAGGAGCTGGAAGTGGATAATTTAACAAAAATGTTGTAAGTACATCACTCAGCCACAAATACAAATCACAAAACAAAGTAATATAAAGCATATTTCCAAAATACAAATAAACTGCAAATAGTTTACATTTAGAGACTCCAAAAAAATTAAGACCTTACAGACAACCAACCACGGAGTCATGAGGTTTTTTTTTTGCACATTCCTTTAGCATTTTTGAAAAGTTTTAGTTAGATAACTGTCCATTCATTAAAATCTATAATTTAATGCAGGTGGGATTTATTTTTTTTTACTTTTGTCGTTTACAAAGGAGAGAAAGAAAATCACAAACTAAGCAAAAAGGAAGAGAATGAATGAAGGCAATCATCCAGGTGCTTGGAACCATGAAGTGAATTTTATTCATACAATGACATTTAAAATGAACCTAATATGAAGAGGGAATGTTTTTATTTTTAATAATAAAATGAAAACTTAGTATGAGCAAATATATAAAGTGGCTACAGTTGCTGCAGGGAATATTTGTGGTTCCTTGAGCAGCTAAAGACCAGATTAAGCTACCATTCAGCTGATTGTTTGGCTATCTAAAATTACACCCTCACTACTTACACTCTTACTTGCATTACTGTCATCTTCTCAAAGATCATTTTACTGCAGCACTGTGAGGTCCTTTTACATGTGCAGGATGTTGAGAAACAGACCAACAGAGTTAATGACTATCAGCCTGGAGCTTTGTGGCTATACCCCAGAGTTCATCAAACCCTATGTGAAAGCTCAGATGTGGAGAAGAGAGACAGACAGGGAGCTGAAGCAAAGAGAGAGAAATACTGTACACACTATATGCATCAATTGGGGGAAACATGCCGCTGCAAACATGCAACAGCAAAGAAACAAAAACATTTCATTAAATTCTCAAAATCACCTAAATGTACATGAACAAAGCATTTGGATGCCACATAGCAGCTGACAGTCAGTTTCTCAAGAAGGAAATAAGAAAACAATGTTAAGGAGAACAATCAGTCAAGGATAACAAAAAACAGGCTTTGCCTCACATTCCAAGACAGGCAGCGCTATGCAGACACAGAGACAAAGAAGGAGCATCTCTGACCTAAAACAGATCATCTGCTCTGCTCTTCCCGACAGACAAGCTAAGTTGTTGCGAAAGGATTTTGCTGTGCTTCTCGTCATTCGCATCACTGGTGGTAAATGGAAGATTCTTCAAAAAATAAAAGGAGGGAATGTAGAAAAGCTGACAATGACTGTTGTACAAGACGCTTTTGGATCATTGAAAATCTTGCTCTATAACTATAAAGTAGAAAAAAAAATAATTTTCAAGATCACAGCAATATAACAAAATGTGCCATACATTCGTATTCAACCTCTTTTACTCCAATACCCTTTTATAAAATTCGATGCAACCACACTTATCTTGTTTTTGGTCAGAATTACTAAAATTGTTTCCATTTGCTGAACAATAACAGGAAGAATATGTCAGATTTATTTATTAATACCTTCAAAAATATAAGTTTACCTAGAGAATGAGTAGAATCTCTTTGAAATACGAGGGAAACCCAGATTACGGTATCATGGTTTTGCAAACTTTTACTGACACACTTGAGTTAATTGGAGGTAGATGGATGTATTTCAAGGAAACACTGGGAACAATGGGGGAAGTCTTTAGACAATTTGAAGATGCTTGAAAGTTGAAAGTTAATCTGTCCAAGCAATTACACACAAGTACAGATGTGGTGGGAATGTCTAACCATCCTACCACTCAGGATGGAGGTTAGTTCTGTGTCCCAGAGATGGATGTGTTTTGGTCTGAAATATGCAAATCGACCCCAGAACGAAAGCCATAAATAAATAAATAATTTGCAGTTTTCTAATGCAGATAAGGACAAAGACCTTCATTTTTGGAGACATGTCCTGTTGTCTGATGAAACTAAAGTAGAACTATTAGGCCACAATGACCACTTTTACATTTGGAGGAAAAATGGGGAACCTTGTAAGCCTGTAATCTATTTACAGCCTCAATACATCAATACAATTTCAATTATTGTAACTATTATTTTACCTTCTACACTACTGAACATGTGGCCAGTATATCCTGCACAAAACATACAATATTGCCACACATAGAAACATCTTGACACAGATGCAGACACCGCTGTGGTCACTTGCACTCAGCTTCCCCTCCGACAGGTCAAAGAACATCTGGCAAAATTCAAAGTTTACTTTCTAGGCTCTGTTTTAATTAGCAAGATGTTTTTTTTAGATGAGAAATTAATCAAAAGAATACAAACACACAGTTAATCTGGCAGAAATGTGAAGGTTTCACATTGTTTATCATAAGCCATCTGTGTGAACCCTCTCAAAGTTGAAAATGGCAGAAGCTTTTCTTCCCCCTCTTCCCTTTCCCTCCTCTTTGCGCTCGCCTACAGAACACACAGGGCGCTTTGCTGGCTAGCCCTAATATAAAGGCGGATTCTTAAATGATAATCAGAGGCTGTGAAACAGTCACTTTTAATTTGACTTTAAAATGTGAAACATAGTTGGAGACTATGCAGACTAAGACGAATAGAGACACAATCTACTCACTTCATTATGACTATTCAATTGGATTGGAAAGACAGAGATGGAAAGCACATCCCTATTAAAATAAATGAAATAGAAAATCTCTTCAGCAGTCCAGAGACTGTCAAAGAAGAATTATTTAAAGAGCTTTTGTTTTAAAAAAAAAAAGTGTTTTATTGCCAAGTAATCTTTATGTCAAGTCATCCAGAACACAAACAATAAAATGACCCAGCCCAGTGTGATGAAAACTGGCATATGAAAAAGATCTGGAAGAATACACTGTTACGCACAATTTACCACAAGTAATTCAATATCAATAAAGGCTGGAAACACAGGAGATTTTGTCACAATTTTTTCCAACTTTGCTGTGCAGTGGCCATCAGTTGTGTAATTCTGTTAAACCTTTGCTTACATCCTCTTTACACAAGATTAAAATTCTAGTACAGTTTCCAGGATCTCTAAGAGGGTATAGATGTTCAGTCTCCTGCTCTCTTGCACCTTGTTGTGTCCTCCCCATCAAAGCAAAATCCTTAAAAATATGGGTGGTTTCCACACCTCCACCATCAATTTCAGCCTGCCTGATTGTCTGAGTAAACACCATTTCTCCCTGATATGAGCAATATCCCATGGTAAAATGCAGCGCAAGTGGTAGATATACAGTGCCAAACACTAGCAATAAATTAAACTACTGCCAGCCCAGTGTGGGTTTTAAGATTGACACAAAAATAGTGTGGTCATTCCTCCTTCTAAATCTCCATTGACCAAGCCACACAGGTTTGTGTAAGGAACAACACCTGGATAACTTACTAAACTGCTGCTTGAGACTCCTCCACACTCCACACAGAACCCAAAGAAGCTGCCACTATGGTAAATAGTAGCGAGTGCATTGCTAAAGCAGCTGTTAAAGAATGCAATTTTGGGATTTCAGTTTGGATGTATTGTCTTATTTTATTGCACCATAAAACCAGAAACATTTAATAATGAGAAACGTTATCCTTTTATTTAGAAAAATACTGCAACCCATCATTTGATTTCGAGTATTACTCCTCTTTTTAACTCTTAGTTAGAAAGCAGATGACCAAAGCCACTAAGAAGGCAGAGCCTGGTGAATGTGTATGCCACAGACAACAGGAGGATAAAAATGGAGGCGGCAATTAAAACGCACAGAACTAGGTAACTATAAATTAGCACTACTTAAAGTAATACTCATGAGATCAACTTGCTGTGAATGTGGAAAACCGCCTGCTACATCCCAACTTTATCTGCCTCAAGTTTGGACTCGTCATGGGTGAGGAGATCCAGAAGCAATCAGTAACTATTTTCCTGTGGTTTCTATAATAGCTCTGCTCATTCAGAGATAATTACAGATGCCTACTTTAAAAACACCCAGGCTAATAGTATTAGTATTCACTTGGGTCTCAGTGTCTCTTTCTTGTTTTTTTTTTTTTTTTAATGATTACATTTCTTTTTCTTTTGCTTTGTCATGCTGAATCTAGCTGAAATGCATCAAATGTAACTGTTTTCCCTAAAATAATTAAGTTGATCTATATTGTGATTGATGGATGAATCGCTTCATGTCATATAATTTTTCTTTCTGTATTTCCATCCATCCATCCATTTTCTGCACACCCTTGTCCGTGTGTGTCAGGAGGGTATCAGGAGGGGTATCTCCAGCAAACGTTTTGGGCAAGAGGCAGGGTACACCCTGGACAGGTCGCCAGTCTGTCGCAGCCCATCTGTATTTATATAATGAATTTCATCACTGGCGATGTATCTTCACATGTGTCGTGTCTAGATACATCTAGTTTTGCAGGCTAGAGCTGCAAAACTAATATTGGTCAATAAAACCATTAAATAATGGCTAATTTGTCAAGCAGTTTATTTTAACAGATCAGTTTCTACCTGTATCCACTGGTTGGCTTTTCCTTCCACTGCATTGCTTGGATGCTCAGAATACAGAGCCAACAAACACTGAAGGAGAAGTCCCCTGCTTGCACCTGCAAGACACACACAAGATTTACCAATTTTCTCAGGTTAATTTTCATGTCTGTTGTTTCTGTTTGTCAGTGGGTTTTAAAAAGACAGATAAAGTAATGCCCAAAGCATAGATTCACCTTCTGCAGTGACATGAGAGTTCCAGCACAGCCGGCCTAAAAGCTGACCTAATAAGGGAAGCCTATTCAAGGTTTCTGTTGTGGAGCTCTAAGAGAAACAGAATAAAAAGGAAAGAAAAAAAAAGACATAAATTAACATTTAAGCAGTTTTAAAAAGAAACGATATCAACGTAAAAAAACAAAAAACAAATTCAGGCCTTTATATTTAAACAGCAGTGTGTCATGGAGAAAGACTAACGACTAATTTGAGAGGATGAGATCACTACTAATGGGAATCATAATGGTAGGTCAAGCAGAGTTTAAATAGAACCTAAATACCCCAGCTATTGTCTGCAACAACACAGTTTCTGTGTGTTGCTCAGCCCTCACATTTGGCCTCCCGATTGCTGAATAGTCTATGGTAAATGCTGTACGGTAAACGTGTGTGTGTGTGTGTGTGTGTGTGTGTGTGTGTGTGTGTGTGTGTGTTGCTGATGCAACAGAGAAGGAATGCTCATTTACAATACAAACTGTTGAATGCTCTGTGACTGAAGGAATGCCCATAAGAATAAGCCATCACAAAAGAAAGCAATTACGACTGACTACCAGGGCACAATTGGCATCAAAGCCTCACTAGCACTGTCTCTAATTATGACCATGTATCTTGTTGTGATTACAACCAGACATTTTTTGACAGAAGTGACTGATTACATACTGGCCAAGGAGCCTAAGGAGACATTTTATAGATTAGAATGAAATAGATGGTGAAGAAAGACACCAAAGACGCAAAATACGTATAAATCATGCATATGTATTTTAGGGTTTATCTAATATGTGAAGCTCTAAACTGAGACAAGTTTGACAAGAAAAACAATGAAAATGTAAACTTTTGTCATTTTAAGGTACACGTGGAAGTTAATGGTTCTAATGCATGCACAAATTACATCCATGTTTGTTTCTACTAAAAGAGCAAAGGAAAGCAATCCAATGAGAAGTTGGTTTACCAGTTTCAGAATTTGCAGAAGGATGTGTCTGATAAGCAGCTGGAGAAAAGCCCTGGATTTACCTCGAGGCTCCTCTGAGAGCTGCACCTACACAATAACTGTGTTCAAGTTTAATTGACGGAAAGAGAGCTTCTTCCCAGCATGCGGGGGAGGGTAGTACACAGACTGAAAGAATGAGAACCAGCCAATCACTCCAATAAAACTTTAGAAACATTACCCCCACAGCAATGGACCCAAACAAATCAAGCATTAGCATGTTTGTGTGTGTGTGTAATTCATAGTAACTAGTCATGCTAATCCTGTTCTACACACCAACAGCTTCCCTTTTTACAACTACATAAAAAAGATTAATTCTTCTTCAAAAAGGGTTAAGGAAATATTAAATCAATTACAAATTGTTTATTTGAATATAGACGTGCATTTATTTAGGCGCAATTGGACATAACTGTGATTAACCCCTTAACTGTCACCCTCAAAACACAATGAGTATCCTCATAACAGTTAAGGGGTTTTTACACAACTCTGTGTGTCTCTGGTAAGTAGATTCTTTAAGTAGCAGCAATAATTAGTTAATATTACAAGAAATGCATTATGGAAGTTCTATCTCTTTCTCTGACTGTGCAGGTAAAATGTGCACTGGCATCAGCTTGAAACAGTATCAATCCATTCTCACAACTCAAAACTGTTGTAAAGCGAAGTGGACCACAAACTAAACCTGTCACGATAACAGATTTTTCTGGACGATACATTTTTCCACGATAATATTGTTGAGACCATCACTGTGAAAATGGAGACCGCTGCATCTAACAAAGAAATGGCAAAAAAAAAAAAAAAAAAAAAAAAAAAAAAAGATTATCTCGGAAAAATTAATTTTAAAATTTGGGTTTTGAAAGGGTGGGGGTTTTGCAATAATCCTCCCCT